ACAGAGTTCCCATATACCCTTCCATCTAGCTTCCACTAACATTAACATCTTATGTCTTACGTAACCACAGCATGGTTATCCAAACAGAGAAATTAACATTGATACAATACTATTAACTATATTACAGACCTTATTATAATTTCACCAGTCTTCTCACTAATGTCCTTTTCCTGGTCTAGGCTTGAATCCAGAACAACTAATGTCTCCTTCTTCTCCTTCAGTCTGTGCAAATTCCTCAGTCTTTGTCTTTCGTGACCTGGAGACTTCTGAAGAGTACTAGTTCAGTATTTTGTAGGATGTCCCTCAATTTGGGTTTGTTGGTTTTTCGTGATTAGATTGAGGTTATACATTTCTGGCAAGAACACAACAGAAATGAAGTTGTGTCCTTTTCAGTGCATCATATCAGAGGAAGACATATGTCTTCTTATTGGTAATGCTGACATCAATTACTTGGCCAAGTTTCTTTACTATTAAATATCTTGTGGGGGGATATTTTGAGACTATGAAAATGCCTTCTTTTTGTTTCTCATCATTCTTCCACCCACTAATTTTCACATCCATTGATAGTTCTTGCCTGCAACGATTATTAGTACAATGTTTGCCAAATGGTGATTTTCTATTTCCATTATCCCTTCTATATTTATTAATTAGAATTATGTAGAAGGAAGTATTACCTTTTCTCCTATTTACTCATATCAGTGCGGACTAATGGATATTTATTTTATTCTGTAGGTTATAACGTAAGGTAATCATTATTATTTTGTTACTCAGATTGTCCCAGCATAGGCCACTGGGAACTCCAGTTTGGCTCCTGGTTCCCTTTTGACATGCTGTCTTCCTTTCTGAGCACATCCTTACTTTGTGGCATCACGAGATGCTCCAGTTCATCTCATATTTTCCCTGCCACAACTCTATAATCAATCATTTCTCCAAGAAGCCCTGTTTTATTTTAAATTGGAGAATGATATATAGAAACAAAGGTCTGGATGCTGGATTTTAGTATAAGTATGCCAACACATATCTCTATTTATTTCTGTATCTACCCATTTGTGTATAAACATATACTAAAAACCATGAGTTCATAGTAACACCTCTGATTCCTATCCAACCCCACAGGGATCATTCCAGCCTTTACCCTTTCCTTATTTGTAACTTGTTTTTCAAACAGGGAGAAACCTGACTCTCATTATTCACAATAAATTTACTTATTTGTTCAAATCTAGAATAAAGATAAAGTAGTGTAGTTTCACAATTGCTAACTTATACTCCTGTGAAAAACAAGTTTACTAACTAGAGTACGATATTTGCATAGTTATTTTTATCCATAGCCTTGCAATGTACTGTACAGTCAAAATATAATTTTCCAAAGTTACTTAAGTGAGTTCTTTTCTTTCCCACCCACTTCATTGTGGTTATGCTAATCATTTATAACACAATTCAGTTTGTTCCTGCTTGTATTCTACTTTGGCTTGCCTCCACGCCCTGGTTGACTACAGATATGTATATATGTATGTGAAACAATTCCATGGTTCTAAGAGCCAGAGTTACAAAAAATGTATAACTAGAGAAATGTCACTTTCTTCTTCATCACTGATTTTCCACCTATTCTCCCATTCTTTCCACCCTGTTCTCACCCATTCCCTGTAGGTACCCAAACTTTGTTTTTTTTGGTTTATGCTTACTGCTTTTTTTCTTTTTTCCATAATGAGTAGATAGATGCATATTTTCTTTATCCCCTTTTTTCTTTTATTTTATGGAGGTATAACTCACATACCATTAAGTTCATCCTTTAAAAATGTACAATTCAGTGGTTTTTAGTATATTCACAGTGTTGTGCAACTCTCACCACAGTCTATCTTTAGAACATTTTCATCACCTCAGAAGGAAACCCTGTACCCCACTCCTCCCAGGCCTAGGCACTGCTAATCTACTTTCTGTATCTATGAATTTGTCTGTTCTGGATATTTCACATAAATGGGATCAGACAATAGGTGGCCTGTGTATCTGGCTTCTATCACTTAGTATACTATTTTCAAGGTCCATCCACGTTGTAGCATGTATCAGTACTTTGTTCCTTTTTACCGCTCAATAACATTCCAATGTATGGACATACCACATTTCGTTTATACATTCATCAGTTGACAGAAATTTGAGTTGCTTCTGCTTTTTGGTTACTGTGAATAATACTGCTATGACCATTCGTGTACAAGTTTTTATGTGAACATATTTTCAAATCTCTTAGGTATACATGTAGGAGTGGAATTACCAGGTTATATGGTGAATCTATATTTAACTTTTTGAGGAATTCAAACTATTTTCCAAAGCAGCTGCATCATTTTACATTCCCATGAATATGAGGCTTTCAATTTCTCTAAATCCTTGCCAATACTCCCCCGCCTTTTTTTTTTATTATAACCATCCCAGTGGGTGTGAAGTTGTATCTCTTTGGCTTAAATTGCATTTCTCTAATGACTACTGAAGTTGAGCATCTTTTCATGTGTTTATTGGCCATTTATATATCTTATACGAAGACATGTCTATCCAAGTCATTTGTCCACTTTAAAATGGGATTATTTATCTTTTTATTGCTGAATTTTAAGAGTTCTTTATATATTTGGTAATAAGTCCCTTATCAGATATATGATTTGCAACTATTTTTCTTATTCTATAGGTTTTTCTGTTCTCTTGATGGTGTCCTTTCATGAACAAATATTTTTAATTTTGATGGAGTCCAGTTTACCTATTTTTTCTTTTATTGCTTGTGTTTTTGGTGCCATACTCAGAAATCATTGCCTAATCCAAGGTGATAAAGATGTATGTCTATGTTTTCTTCTAAGAATATTATTGTTTAGCTCTTATTTTAGGCCTTTGATTATCTCTTTTGAGTTAAATTTTGAATATGATGTTAGGTAGGGGCCAACCTTCCTTCTCTTGCATGCGGACATTCAGTTTTTCCAGCACCATTTGTCAAAAAAGCCTATTCTTTCTCTATAGATTATCTTGAACACCCTGTCAAAAAATCAACTGACCATAAGCATAAGGGTTTATTTCTGGACTTTCTACTCCATTTACCTATCTATTTATCTATCTATCCAGTACCACACTGTCTTGATTACTATAACTTTATAGTAACTTTGGAAATTGGAAAGTGTGAGTTCTCCAACTTTGCTCTTTTTCAAGATTATTTTGGCTGTTCTGGGTTCCTTGCATTTCCATATGAATTTTAGGATCAGCTATCAATTTATGTGGAAAATCCAGATTTGATTGGAATTGCATTGACTCCATAGATCAATTAGGGTAGTATTGTCATCTTAACAATATTAAGTTTTCCACTCCACAAACATGAGATGTCTTTTCATTTATATAGGTTTTCTTAAATTTCTTTCAATACTGTTATGTAGTTTTCAGAGTATAAGTTTAACACTTCTTTTGTTAAATTTATTCCTGAGCATTTACTTAATGCTATTGTAAATGAATTTTTTTTTTTTAATAAAATAGGGAAGCAGCTCATGTGATTATGGAGGCCAGCAATCCAAAGTGTGCAGAGCCAATGTCCCAGTTTCAGTCTGAAGGCTGGAAGCTGCTGTAGAACCAGGAAAAGCTGATGTTCCAGTCTGAAGACTATCAGGCAGGGAGAGCTATATTTGTGTTTTAATCTTGCATCCTGCAACTTTGCTGAACTCGTTTGTTAGTTCTAATTTTTTTTGTGTGGATTCCTTAGGATTTCCTATATACAAGATCATGTCATCAGTGAATAAAGATCGTTTTACTTCTTTCTTTCCAGTCTGGATGCCTTTTATTATTAATTTTTTGCCTAGTTGCCCTGTATCTCAATTTTTTAAATAGTTCTTTATTGCTATGGTTTGAATATTTGTCCCCTCCAAAACCCATGTTGACATTTAATTGCCATTATAACAGGTCCTCTTAAGAGGTGGGACCGTTAAGAGGTGATTAGGCCACAGGGCTCCACCCTCATGAATGGATTAATGTCATTATCATAGGAGTGGGAGTACGTTCATTTAAAAGGGTGAGTTCAGTTCTGTTTTTTCTCTCTCTCTAACTTGCCCTTCAACCTTCGGCCAAGGGAAGATGCAGTTAGATGGCTTTTGTCAGATGTTGGCCCCTCAATCTTGTACTTCCCAGTTTCTGGAACTGTAAGCCAATAAATTTCTGTTTATTATAAATTACCCAGTTTCAGGTATTATATTATAGCAGTAAAAACGAACTAAGAGATTTATGTATTAGAGAGATTAGTCCTTTGTCTGTGGCACATATATACATGTGTGTATATATGTATATATATGTATGTGTATACTTATTTCTTTCTCTCAAGTATTTTCTCCCAGTTTGTCAGCTTTTTGCTTTGTGTATGTTTCTTTTAATAACACCAACATTTATAAAATACTTTTATGTCATCAAATTTATCAGTCTCTTTCTTTCTCTGGATTTTGAGTCATAATGAGAAAACGTTTCCCTACATTGATGTTAAAAGAGGAATTGTCCCATTTTCTTTTAGTACTTGTATAGTCTCAGCTTCTACACTAGATCCCTAATTCATTTGGAGTTTTTTTCTTATGCATGGTGTGAGGAATGGATGTAATATTATCTTTTAAAAAATGGCTCTCCAGTTGTCCCAGCACCATTTATTAAAAGTTCATATTTTCCCTAGTGATTTGAGATGCCATCTTTATCATATACTAAATTCCCAAGTGGCTTTGGGCCTACCTCTGTGCTTTCTATGCTATTCCACTGGTCCATTTGTTTCACTTATGTTGGTTTTATAGTATGTTTCAATGTCTGGAAGGGCTCATGGTCTTTTATTTTCAGTGTTTCCCTAGCTATTCTTAAATGCTTGTTTTTCCATACGAACTCTAGTATAGTTGATTTAACATAAAACTTACGAAATTTTCACGTAAACGTGCTAAATATTCTCTTAAGCTCCAGCCTGGAGATATTTAAAAGTTTAATTCCTTTATTCATCAAATAATTAACCCTCTCACCTTTTCATTGGCTTGTGGCGACGTGTGGGGGGTAAATCTGATGCACCACCAGAGCTCTTCTCTACATCTACTTATTCCCTTGAGTTACCATCTTCTCTCCTCCCGATCCAAGTCAGATGCCCTGCAGAGAAAGGAACGCATGGTCTCTCCATTTCCTCATCATGTTTCTGAAGTAAGAGCGTTTATAGTAGGAGCAAGTTCCACTTATTCTACAGTAACATTATTGTTGGACTCTTGAGCCTACAGTGAACAGGGCAACAGTGCTAAATTCTCCAGAGGTGAGGAGACATCGTGATCTAGGAAGGGCAAGTGACTTGCTGAACCAATGACCAGCCCAGTCCATCAGCAACGAACCCACGGACTGATAACGAAAGAAGAGCTTTGCAAACAGAAAGGAGTCTTTTCCCCTTTAACCAGTAGGAGCCAAGTTCCCGACTGGTATATGTATTTCTCCATTCGGCCTGCCTGTCCCTTCTTTTCAACCCCCCATAGTCACAGTACTGCACATCACATCGCCGGCTGCCCGTGCAGGAGCCCCTCCAGCAGTGTTACTACCTCTGTGTTTAAGTGGGGGAGGCAAAGTGTATTGAGGTGCCCAGGCCATGGAGCCAGGAACGGCAATACAGACAGGGCACACTGCCGTCCGCCACCACTTGCTGGGGGAGGCGATAAGACCGCGAAGGCGGCAGGAAGGCTGGGTCCCAGGGGCGGGAGGCGTGGTCGGGCCGTGGAGCGCCGCGGGCCCGCGACCCGGGAGCTGCGGGCGCGCCTCGCCGAGTCCCGACCCTCCCGTAGGTCGGCGGGTCCAGGCGGGAGCCGCCAGGGAAGGGGGCCAGACCCGAGGGCGCCGAGGGCGGGACCGGACTCGGCTTCGGCGTGAGATGGCGGCGGCAGCTGTGAGAAGCGCCAAGCGGAGCCTGCGGGCCGAGCTGAAGCAGCGTCTGCGGGCGGTGAGCACCGAGGAGCGGCTACGCCAGTCCCACCTACTGACCCAGAAGGTGCGAGAGCCCGGGCAGAAGGCCTGACACCACAGCGGCTCGACTAGCCCAACGCCGGTGGCCCACGGCTTGCGGATCTGCGCAGGCGCAGGCCCCCGGCGCGCGCTCGCCCCTCCAGACGCGCGCACGTTCCACTCCCCCAGCGGCTCGGCTAGCCCAACGCCGGTGGCCCACGGCTTGCGGATCTGCGCAGGCGCAGGCCCCCGGCGCGCGCTCGCCCCTCCAGACGCGCGCACGTTCCACTCGGCGTGCGCACGTTTCCCCGGCGCGCGCACGTCCCTTTGTGGTCTGTGTTCTCCTGGGCACTTTGGCGGGGAGAGGGGCTGGTGAGGCGGTGTGGGTCTACTGAGCGAGAGGGAGGGAGCCAGTGGCAGACCTGTCTGGGAGGGGAGTTCGTTTGGATGGAGGGCACCTGTGGTGCGTGGGAACTCCTTAATGGGGATAGTGGAGGTGCTGGAGTGAGGTCAGGGTTCGAACCGAAAGTTCTGGTGATGAGGATGGGTGGGACACCTGAGCGCTAAGGTGCCCTCGAGTGAGTCGTAGAGATAATGGGCTACGAGTAAGAGCCCAGTCATATCAGTAAAATGACCTGAGAAAAATGCGATCATTTCACACGAGGGAACACCAAAAAAGGGTTAGGGATTCCGAGGGACAGACGACAAAGGTTGACTGCACTTCGCTAAGCGTACGGAGGGCTGGGGCTGTGTCTTGCTAACCTCAGGGCCTAGCGTTTTCCTGTCGCAGAGTGGGTGGACATTAAATGCTTTTTTGAATTAATGAAAGAGAAATGAGTATCATACATAGGCTTGCTATGAAGGTCGGAGACCGAAGAGAGAAACTAGGGGCATGAGTGAGGTTCTCTGTTTGTTGGTTAGGAGATCTTGGTTTTGTTATTATCACTGACTGACTTGTTATGTATTTTCAGTCTGTCCATGTAGTTTCAGCTTTCCTATCGCAATGGCAGTCATCCTGCTGGGAAGGCACGTTCTAGTGATGTCTAAGAGACTAATTTTTGTTGGATACAAGGGGGGGGGGGAATCAATCTCCCGTGAATAAGTACATATTGATTCTGTTGTAAGTCAGACTAATGATCTGCTCCCCCAATATCCTGTCTCTGATGGATTTACAAACGGATACTTGGAGACTGGCGTGGGAGTTCCTTTCCCTTGGTATTAGATATACCATAAGACTTTCTTAATTACCCTTCACTGTTCTATCATCCGTTAATTTCTTAAATTCAAGGTTCCTGTGGGTTAAAGCAGTAAAGCAAATATGCTCATTTAACCTCCCTCTTCATATATGTGGGTGTGTATGAGGGAATCTATGCAGATAATAGTATATTCATTCAAACTGATTTTTGTTTTTTTAGCTATTGTGAGGAAGGCGTTGCTGGGTGCTTTCGTATCGAATCTTATCCTTACTCTCTAGCTTTTAAAAATTTAGGTAATTCATTCACATATATTGAACACCTACCATAGTCCACCCTTTGCTATGTACTGAGTTGCAGGGATAAGAAAGATATAGTTGTTAGCCTAAAGGAGCAGGGAGTTTAGAAGAAGAAACAGACATATGAATAAAGAATTGCAATGCAGCCAGATACATGATAAACACCAATGTTGTGAAAACAGCCTGGGAAGGGGGAATTGGAAAGTTTTCTTTAGGAAGATATTTGAGGTGAATTTTGTTGAACAAGATTAATTTTGTCAGGTGAAGGGAAAAATGGGGTGGGGGAACATGCACAGGGATGTTTAGGCAAGAGAGGGCAGGATACAATTTAACATGGACTTTGGAACTACACAGATCTGGATTTAATCTGGCTCTATTGCTTTTTAACGTGTATGGCCTTGTACAAGCTCTGAATCTCTGACTCGTTATCTGTAAAATAGATATCATCCTCGTAGGTCTATTGTGAGAGTTAAAGAGGTGTGTAAAGGGATGTATCAGTGTTTTACATATTTTTGATATATCCTTTAGGCAACATTTGGATAATGGAATGGGGAGGGAAGAAAGGAAAAAATACGGAGATCAGTAAGGGGCTGCTGTGATAATTCAGGTAAGAGGTAATAAAGATGCAAATCAGAGCATGGACAGTGAAGATGGGGGAAGAAAGGAGGTAAATGGGAAACTGCAGTGAAAATCAGGACTTGGCAACTGGTTGCATAGAGGTAATGGAAGGGGAAGGGAGTCACCGATGATTCCAAAATTTAGACCTTGGGATAAGGGTGTTTAATATTACTAGTCTTAAGGAACGTAGGGGTTGGAGCACATTTTGGAGAGAGGTATTGGGAAAATAAAGAGTTCAGTTTGGTTTCTTTGGCCATAGAAGATTAAAATTCATATCTCCAGGTGGGAATAGTGGGTATATAGAGGCAGAACCTCTGACAACAGTAGGATCAAAATTGAGAGCTGGCATCAAAGCAGGAGAGGGAAAATGTAAAAAGCAGACCCATAACCTTCAGTAATAAATATATTTTACCCCATACAAATAAATATACACATACAAGGAATATATTTCCCAACTCTTACTATATACAATGAACTTTAATATTTTCTATTATATTTCATTTAAAAATGCTGATTGTAACCCACTGTTGTTTTCATGACCAACCAATGGATCATGGCTTGAAACATCAGTGTACTAGAACAGTGTTTTCCATAGTGAATGCTTAGTAAAGGTATTAAAATGATGTCTTTCTCTGAATCATTTAAAAAAAATATTCTCATTGGCATAGCACCTTTTTAATAATTTAGAAATTTGTCAGAAAAATAACATATGGGGCCTGGCCCGGTGGCGCACTGCTACAGTGCGCTGCTTGGGAAGTGCGGCGGCGCTCCCGCCGAGGGTTCGGATCCCACATACAGACCGGCCGCTCACTGGCTGAGCGAGGTGCGGGAGCAACACCGAGTGTTGCGATC